AAATTTTGCTCCGACAATAACATTGAACAAAAATTTTGTCCAGTTGGCGACCATCGCGGATGCGGCTTAGTAGAACGCACTATACAAACCATCAAGAGAAGGTTGGGAGTAATGTTACTCGATGAAAATGTAACGTCGATAAAATTGTGCTTGAGTACGATAATTCGCGACCTTCGTTGGATAAAACAGAAGACAATTCAAATGTCGCCATTTGAAGCGCACTTTGGGCGATTGCCAAAAACAGAATTTAAAATTCTCAGTGATAGGTTCTTACAAAACTCTGATCGTTTAGATAAGGAACATCTGGAGCGCTCCGCCTTGACGGCTTCGCAACTCAAAAAGAGAATCGACCAATCTCGTGACAACTTAAAGATTGTCCGGAAGGGACAAAACAGCCGAGATGTGAGTCCATTATTCAAAGAGCAAGTCGTCTCGGCAAAGGACCGAGAAAGAGCGCGGGCCCTAAAAGAGCTTCTGGAGGCCAATGCAAGATGGAACCAGACTCGACGTGATACTTCGGCAAACGACCTAAAGCGTACTGTGGATGAGACGAGTACCATTAATCCCGAGCTACGCAAAGAAATGTTATACTCGTGGGAGCGGGGGTTCGTTGAAGATAAACCGGAGGCCATTTCTCAGCAACGTCAGTCGTCACCAATCCTGATACGAAAAGACGAGGGGAGGAAGAGCGGTAAGGCCCTCACGAAACCTCTAAAGGGAAGGGTCGTGGCCGAAACGCCTTCCACAATTAAGACGGCTGCAGGGTCCATTTACCGGAAAAGCGATATTGCAAAGGTTAAGGTTGCGGTGCATGATAAGGAGAAAAACAACAATAGACGATCCCCATCGGGAGAAGAGCCTAAGAAAAAACAACAGAGGCAATCGAGGCGACAATCAGACGAACAAGATGAGGCTGAATTGAGTCAGTCGGATGAAGACTTATTGCTAGAGCAGCCAGGTGCAGCGAAGGAAAAATTTCAGGATAGCCCAACGGTGATCACTTCAAAAGACACCCTACAAGGCGGTGGACTGAATTTGGCGGTACGAAGAGCGAAGCCAAACTTGGCTGGACCATTCTCGAAATCAAATAAGGCTAAAGTGAGCCCAATCTCGACGAAAGACGCACAACAAGTCATATTACAGAATAAAAGTGCTGCGTCAGCAGCAGAAGTAATCGAACCGAAGGCGCCAGACCACGCATGTTCGTCGAACACTATCAAGAACAAGAAAGAAATTACACGCACTACATCTCCTGAAACAATCCTCGGCACTTTCAATAGTAAGGATTTATCGGCGAATGACTGGAATCGATTAGCGGATCAAGTACTTGAACGAGGAGTTCAGCGCGCGGCGGCAGAGATACTGCATTCGAGAGAGGATGCGAGAGACGACGAGGAATTGATGAATCCTCCGGGGTTTTCTGACGAATCCGAACTTGAGGAAACATCAGTACGGAAAAGCGGGAGATCGAAAAAGGGACCATCCAGATACGGAAACCCGATTAAGCATTCAGTGAAATCAATCTCGTTCCAGAATAACTTATTGGACTTGAACCAAGCCGCGCTCGAAGCATATAGAATCAAGCTTGCAAATTTTAAACCTGGTGCTTCTAATTCGGTGGAGACAAAATTTGGTCTGCTGGAAAAACATCTATTTAGGAGAAAGTTTGGCAGCGAAGCTCTAGACATAACCCGTTCATGGAACGCCGAGTGGAGAATCCCGTTACAGTTGGAAGAGGAACATGAAGAGAGAGATGGAAAATGAGTTATCTAATACACAAAGCCAAAACTTCTTAAACTGAGTTCTAAAACTCCTATTCATTATTATTTAAAATTTTAATAACATAGTATAAAAATTTTCTTGATCGAGGGGGTATGTGGTACCGCAACTGCTACTGCCATTGCAGTAACTATGCAGTCCTCATATATATTGGCCTTGATAGTGCTACTTACATCTGCCACTGCTATCGCAGTAATCAGATAGTCATCACATATTGACCTTGATAGTGCTATACATATTGTTATCTATAAATTATATAATTCTATTATAAAAACCAAGGTCAAAGAATACGTGACCTTTTAGAAATCCAAGAGAGTCAATCTCTCAGGCCTGTGGCTAAGAACACAGTCAGTAACAAACTAACAACAGAAAAGAAACGGTTTTATTATGGTTAATTAAACTCTTTCGAACCACTTCAGTTTTCACTATAAAACCTCAGAGGTATTGTTAGTTACCACAAGGTTATATACACATCTTATACAGATTATATACACTATGAAATCAATTTTATTTTCATTTAAATTTTCAAATTGAAAAAAAAGTTTTGTAACGTGTTTTGTTTTTTAATTGAAAATAACTAAAATTGATTAAAACAAAATAAAATTGCCCAATTGAGACCAAAATTGATTTTTTCTCTTGACTCAAAGTAGTCGTATTGGTAGATTTTGTTTGTGGATGTGTTGGTGTTCGTTGTGGGGTGATGGTGGGTTTCTTTTGTAACTTTTTAAGACTGTTGTCGAAAAAATTCTGTGCTTCATCCACAGTAACTTTCTGCTCTTGTTATATATTGTTTATATTGATGATTTTAATGATTTGTGTCGTTTAGTTTGAATTGAACTTTTGTTTTGAGTTTCCAAACAGCATGCTTCAGAGAGAAAGAAGTTCAATTTTTTAGACAGTATAATCCATTTTTTAGACAATATAATCATCTTTTTTGGGTCCTTAGAAAAGGCATTACAATAGATTATAATCAATTTTAAACATTATATACAGATTCTATGCAAATTTTATTTCGCAAAAGTTCCATTTTCGAGAATAAATTATCGATTTTTCTGAACTGTATAAAGTTTTTATATTATCTACTTTATTGTCTAATTGGGTTACGTACAATCATTTTTGTACTTGTCTGTACAAAAATAAATTTTAATCGATTGCGGTCTTAGTTTTGCCAATGCTGGTCATATTAAAAGTTAAAATATGTTTTCTTAATACTCAGTAGTTCTGAAAATCAAGCTTTATTAGCTTCTCTTTTTGGTCCCCCTGACAATTATTTCAATCTCACTTAAGAAAGATTTAAATTAGCTTTGTTATTAAGTAATGAAATTCAACATAGTACATGCATTAGTTTTTAAATTAGTTTTTTTAGTTTATGATTGTGTGAACATGCTTCATGCAAAATTAGCATAAAAATTCCCTTAAAACTAATGATTTCAGTATAATTTTAGATGCGCGCAGTTTTCTTTATATCTCACAACTGTTTTTAATTTCTCAAAAAAGAGTTCCTTCCTAGCCATCACGAAAAACAATTTTTTGTGCTTGTTGAAAGTTATTGCCACAATGACTTCAAAAGTAAGATTGAGGTTGCCAGATTTAAAAAAAAATATTTTAGCGCAAATGATTTTATTTGATCTAAAAATCCATTATAATTGATCAAAAATTGTTTCATAGTTTAGTCTCTCAATTCCTTCCAAAAATGTAACACAAAAATATAGACGTTTAGTGGTTTATAACTCAAATAATTTCCATTTGATTATTTCATTTTTTTTCAATAGTAAAGATACATATCAAAAAGGAACTTGAATTTTTCTATTAAAGCTGAGCATTTTCAAAACATAAATGCTGCATCTTGCGTTCGGTTTTCAATGTTTTTTTTCTCAATTTCTGGTTACTTAATTTTTTGATGGGGATTTTTGTTTCAAATTATTTCAAAAATTGTGTTTTAATTTCATAATTTTAAAATTTTCTACTTCGTTTTTAATGATATTCAAATTGCGAATTGCCTTAAGTTACATGCGCTCAATTTTTTCTCAAAATTATATTTTGAAGCCAAGTTTTTTCATGCAATTCTTTCGACTTTTGCAAAAAACTGAAAAATTCCAATTTGGTCATTATACCGCGCAAGTTTCCAATTTTTGTAACTACTCGGAGTTTTTTCCAGCGAAAAAAAAACAGTCTTCATACAGTTTTAAAGGCATGCATGAACGCGTTGAGAGAAGCATAAATTATCAGATTATACTTGACCTTGTGTGCAGGTGGGATCATTGTTCACAGGGCAGGGTCAGAATATTTGCATGTTAATGTTCTGACTGCCCTGTAAACAGTTCTAAGTGGTTGGTTTGTTTAAAAAAAAGGTCTATTTAAAGAGAATTTAAGAATTTGAAATGGTTTTAAAAAGCAATTTTGATGTTAGTCTTATGATTGAAAATTTGAACATAAACTGTCGTTGAAGTTGCAGAACTGAAGTTTAAAAAGAAACACGGTTTGAACTCTGACAAAAAAAATAAAAATCCGCAAAACAACTGAACAACACCGACGTCCATGTTTTGATTTTTTCTGCAAATTTTTCAGCCGTTATTTGGATCACAAAAGTTTTAAAAAAAAACTTATTTCAGTTTTGATGAAAACTGAACTGATCATTTAATTTTTCAGAATAAATGCCACAAAGTTTTTCTATATGGCAATGGCACGATGAGAAATTAAACTCTCAGTTTGCTATATTAGCTATTATTACTTCTCATTTGGCTAATTTTTACTTAATTCAATCGCCTTTTTCGTTTTTTTTTTAATCTAGAAGGTCAAAAATTTCTGTGGCGCGTTTGTCAGCTACTGGCGAATTTTTTTGCTCCCAAAATTCCCCCATCTTGGAATCAACTTTGTGACGTCATTTTCTATATAAAGTTCAAAATTAGTTAGCAATTGAAAAAATCGTACCAAGTTTAATCTATTTTCAGGGAACAAAGGAATGCTTTCGGGCGGAAAAATGAGAAAAAGCTTCTTTTATTGGTATTGTGTTTTTCAAAAAACAAAGCTTCGCTAAAAGTTGCTTGGTTTGCCCTTGATATGACGTCTTTCAATTTAGCTCACTGATTGATAATTGGTGACGTATTTTCTCAATTATTCCTCTTTACTAAGTGTTTCAAAAGCTGCATTTGTTTGGCTTTGCAGCAATTTATTTTTTAATGAGTTTGATTGCAAATTTGATGAGATGACGTCACACTTACCAGTTGACCTTGGGTGGTCTTGTAATGCACTCCACTCTTGGCAGTTGCGTCTCGTGTTTCAAATTTCACGCTCAATTCTAAAAACAACCATAAAGTACAAAATCACTTTGTTCACGCATTGGCGTAACACAATGCCGGAACGAGCGGCTGAGAATCATAGCTCACATAAAAGTCGAGCCGATAAATTAACCCGATACTGTTTTTATTCTAGGCGAATAAGAGTAAAACACAAAAACTAATTTAAGAAATTGAAGGAAAAAAAATTTCTGGGACAACACTTCATCATATGATTTGTATAAAATGACCAAACGGGTTTTCTAATTTGGGGGGAGGGTGGGGGCTTTGTGGTATATGAACTGCTGCTTGTCAGAAATTGGGGTGGATTTAGTTTGTGTTTTGGACTACCTGATAAGTCGATGTCATTCGCATTGTCCTCGTCGCCTCCTCGTCTCGAGTCGGCCGGAAGTCGTGGTCTCGGCTCTCGTTTTGTCATGGAACTCGTGGACCCGTAGGCAGAGTCAATTGCAGTCACACTCAGACGGGGGCTCTTTTTGATTCTGTGGAGGGAGGGGGTTGAGAATACCGAGGAGGTGGTGGGGCTGGATGCTCCGTTCGTCATCGAGTGCACAAGAGCATCATTCGCCTGCCTCTCCAAAAACATGTCATCCTAAACAACTTTTGTTTCATTGCTAAACTTAAACTACCACTTACTGCAAATAAAACAAAGGTGTACTACAATTGATTTTGAAACTTTTGTATTTAGCAGGGAAACCCTTCATGTTAGAAAGACCGAATGCCCAAAAAACGACGACAGTGCCAAATCAAAAATTAAAATTCAAGTATGAAAAATTTAATGGAGAGAAGTAATCAGTTTCGAACAGTGTAAATCAGACGTCTGAAAATAGGCTAGATTTTACCTGATGGCGCTCTCACAAGTGTTGTTTTTGCAGAAGAATACCTTACTTTTTTCGGGTAAACGTCTTTTGGAAATAATTTATGAATTTATTATTAAAAATGACGTTTATTGAATGACCATTTTCGCACAATCGGTTTGTTAATAACTGACCTTTGTCTGATTTTTGGTCTCTTCATTCGATCTGAAACAAAGAAAATTGATAAAGTCAACTTTGAGTCTGATTTTGAAATGATTGTTAAAGATTAATTAAAAGCCTCAATTTTTTAATCAGAATTTTTAGCTGCCGTCTGCACAAATTTACCATTTGAATAATAATGCCAACTAAGGTCTCAACTGTTGCAAAAGAACGACAGCTTCGACGGCCGAATGGTTACAAAGTATAGCGCGAGTTCAAGTTTTGTTCTTTTGGACCATTCGAACATTTTTTCTCCCTCAACAAAGCAGGTTGACTTTAATTAAATAGCAAGTCAACATACAAATTTGAACAAATAAAGATTTTTACAAAAAAAAACGATCTCTTTCTTAAATTGATTCAATGTACAAGATCGCTCCTTCGGTCCAATCTATAAGTTATATAATTCATAATCAGAACGTTTAACATGTACCGATGAGAGATGACTCACTGGTTTGGTGGTACATAGGTGATGATGACCTCCACCCTGGCGACGGTATCCCCAGGCTCAGTCACTATCTGGGGCGACAGGAACATCACCCGCGGTTTTGTCATCTCCCCATTTGCCCCCAATTTACTCCCCATTCGTCTTAGGTCGTCCTTGTCTTGAGTGAGGGTGAGGAGTTGGACGAGACGACTGATTCGATCTTCACTCCCAGACGAGACTTGTTTGTTCATTCGGTCGCTGAACACTTTTATCCTACAAGCAAGTAGAAAAATTTTAAGGTCAGTCATCCAAAAATGTATGTCTCAAAGTAGGGACTCCCTGATTTTTCCGAAAATTTCCGAAAAATCAGGGAGTCCCTACTTTGAGACATACATTTTTGGATGACTGACCTTAAAATTTTTCTAAAGGCGCCTTAGGCGCCAATATATATACTAATTTTGAGGGAGGAGCGCGCGCCGAAAAAACGTGATTTTTGGTCGAAATTTTCCAAAAAGTGTATAAAAACCCCTTTTGTGGCCCGTTTTTAAAAAAGTTACCTGCGGCGCAGAAAATTTGGTCAATCTAGGGTCTTTATAATGATTTGGGAGAGCTCAGAGAATCAATTTGGTTCAACGTTTTTTTTTGAATATCCGCCCCCCCCCCCTCGAGAAACTCCTAGATCCGCGCCTGTAAACAAGCATTCAAAAAAACACTATTAAAATCTATTCAGAAACGTTTAGAGTATTCTAACATATATCTTCTGACATTTTATATTTAAGTTATTATTCATCATTTATAAATTAAGTTTGTTTTAATAAAAAACATCTCTTCTAGCTGTTGTCGTTGAGTATTGTGTCTATGAACCGTCTGTTACGAGCTGATATGATTAGATATGCCCAATATTTGCTGAATGGATAAAATCTCCAATAGTTAAGTATTCATAAAAACTATTTTAGTTCAGTTATCCAAAAAACCAGGCAATCAGTTAACGGTCAGATTGGAACCTAACTAAGAGATGACTATAACTATAAGGTGTTTCTTACGAGTTTGGCCGTTTCAATGAACTTTGCTCTCAAACTACGATTTTTTTTGGTTTGGTGAAATTTGGTACCTGGCCCGTCTGTTCCGCTCCGCTACACTGCGCATGCATTCGGGAAGAGACCCGGTCCGAGGTAGTGGTTTTATAATCAAACTACCGCGATCAAGTTTTGGTATTTCCACACCGTCGCAACCAAAATTGGATATTGAATGTTTCAAGACTTTAAGAAAACATATTTTGCAGACCGAGGAGATGTTTCCGCAATCAGCGCGATCCAATAAAATTTGTATGCGAACAGCGCGGCCGAAGAATAGTTAACTGCGGACGGCCCGAATTTGGCGATCGCTCTACACTTTTTTTTCCTTCATATTGTTAAAAACAAAAAAATTACGCAATTCAAATTGGCATGGCATTTGACGTTTTTGCTAAAAGATTACGTAAAACGTATTTCATTAACACATAACTTTACGCGTTTTTTCCTCAACTTTTTTGAAATTTGAAGCCTACTCATTGTTATGTCGTGTCCTCAACAGTTAGTAATATTGTTCTGGGCAAGCGTGACTTAATTAAGCGATGAGCCAAATTGGTGCTAGTCGAATATAATGGTCTTTTTATTTATTGCTAAGATTTTTCTATTTTTATCCAATAGATTAAAAAGTCTTTCTTCACTCGTAAATATTTTTATTAATTTAGCTATGTAAATTTTCAAGCATAAATTATATTACCAAAATGATGAATTTATAAACTGAAGAGCAAAATTTTGGATTAGATTGCTTTTCTTCTGCCTGTATTTTTTTACCTCTAGATAAAATAAGTTTTGCTTTAGAAATTAATTAAATTTAGTTTTACTGAAGTAACTTTGTTGGGTTTCAATTCTGTTCATATTTCTTATTGTTGCGATTGTTCTTATTCATTCGTCTATGTTTAACTAACTGGTCTATATGACCTTGATTTACCGCAAGTGATCTCCTCTGGCGTGAGTGAGCAACAGTGTTATTGTGTCTTAGTTAGAAATAACACACAATTTATTTGAATTCTAATTCTTATCTTTTATTATTTAAGTTAGTTTAGATAGAGTTTTAGAGCATTTTATTGTGGCGCAGTCATCTGTTAAAGAATCTGGCATGAGGGGAGTACTCCCAGTCTGGCAATCGCATACTATCGACTCCTCAACCCCGTGGGAAGATTGGAGGGATATGTTCCAATTGGCATTATTAGACAAAGAGAATATCGATATCGACAACCTTTTGAACCCACTAGAATTCGTAAAGCAAGAGATTCTAAAACTGGAGGAAGAGCCCAAAACGAGTCGAAGACGGTAAAAACGGAACGCTTAGCAAGGAGCGCTGAAGAAAGAAATAGATTCAATGATTCCGAGAATGCCCAAATAACATTGGAAAGAAAGACATTCAAAGGAATGCGAATGGAAGAGCCGGACAAGAAGACTAGCTCGGTATTGTATCTAGCACTTGGTATTAAGGGTAAGAGAGTTTTCTCACAGAATTTTTCTGAAGTTAAAATCGTACGGATAGTTTTCGCCGAATTTTGGGATTTCCTAAACCGAGCTTTTATTACAAAACCCAATGTAACATTCGAACGCCATAAGCTACTCAGAAGACGACAGAAAGATAGAGAAAGATTGTAACGGTTCTGGGGTGCTCTAGCTGAATTGGCGAAGAAATGTTACATATCCAGTGGAGAGGAATAATGGATTCGCGACATTTTCATTAAGAACATGAAAAATTACAAAATCCAGAGGAAATAATTGATTGAAACTCTTCCCCACAAGAAGCCTTAAATGTTGCCTTAGTTGACGCAAAAGGTATCTCAAATCATTGAAGATGACAATTAATTTTAAATCCTCCTACCCTGTAAATTATAATACAGTAAATAATGATCGAAAATCTCATAAACGAGAAGCAACTTTGGCAGTTGATAGATGAAATTCTTGTTTGAAAAGCGGAGGAAAGTTCAAAAAGGGACATTTTGCTTTATGCCCATCGAAGGACGCGACCTGTAAATCTTGTATTTTTAAAGGACATTTCCCATAAAATGTAAATCTCGAAGAGGAAACGTGAGTTTGTAAATAATCACGAAAATGTAGATACCGAATTTGTAACTCCGTCGGATAATCATGCTGTAAATTACCATGTACATAAAAAGTGTTGCGGAGTAATTGCGTAGTCGGAAACAATGCAAAGTGATAACAACGAATGTTGGGTATAAAACGTGACTACAATACTTGACAACGACGGAAAAGAAATTAAGACACTACTTAAAATTGGATTGGGAAAAGAAAATTTTGCAAAACTTAATAAACAGGTGGACTCAACAAGCCCTATAAAAATTTTGAGAAAGAGCGGACTCCGCGAACTCAAGTTACGAGATCAACGTTTAAAAACTAACACAACCGACCAAGCTTCGAAAGATTTGTAGTGCGACTTCATGGACGATCTGACCAAGATTGTGGGACAAGTCAACCAATTAGATCCAACGGATGGACGTATGACAACACGGCTTTCTTCATAACCGAGGGTCACGAACAAAAAATGCTAAGGAAATGACAATCTACTATATTTGGGATAGAAGTGGCACAAAAACTCTTTCCTACAAGAAAAACATTGAAAGTAAGTCTTTTATAAATTTCGTCGGTTTATATAAAAGTGAAACTGAAACCATTTTCAAGAAACTGAACAAGCTATCCAAGAGAATTGGCAAAATAGAAAATCAACTAAAGATCAATCATTTTCACGAAACCTATAAATTTAAAAGGAAGCAGGTTTTCACTACACTTACTTCCGTCAGTAAGCAAAGAAATTGACATACTTATCTCCAAAGGACACATCAATAAGTTAGAATCATGCAATGAAGAAAGATTTATCAGCCCAATAGTAATTATCTGCAAGAAAGATAAATCAACCAAGCTCGCATTGGAGTCAAAAATGAAGATACCACATGTTCACAAACTGGTAGATATTGTTGCATCTCAACTGCCAGAAAAATTTTTCGGGGAAATTTGGTTTACAATTTTAGACCTTAAAAAGTATTATAGCCAACTTTATTTAGACGACTTCGCGAGCAAACAGTGTAACGTCAGCATCGTTGGAGAAAATATAACCTGTACCTATGGATTTTTAACTGGATTTTATGGGCTAGGCGATATGCCAAATGAACTTCTAAGAGTAATGGACTCAACCATTGGACATATCTAATTTACCAATGTCTACCTTGACGCCATAATAATCTCTCCAATAGGAAGTTGTAAAGAGCATTAAGAGATCGTTGAAAGGATTTTATCTACACTTGACAACAATCATTTCCCCGTAAAATGGCCAAAATGCAATTTGTTTTAAAAAACCAATCGAATGGCTAGGTTTTAAAATATCGAAGACAGGAGTAATTTCCTTGGAATATAAAGCCTTAGCGATAAAATTGATCGCATTTCCTTGAAACTTGAAGGATTTGCGTTCATTCTTTGGCTCAAGCGATCAATTTTTGAATTTTGTTCCAAACTTGATTTTGGAGACCAATCTTAAACAATAAATCGATATTTAATTGGTCAGATGAACATACTATAGCGATTGAGAAAACCAAATCGGAAGCTGTTAACTTATTCGAAAATACACCCTTCGACGTGAAACTGAAAACTCAAATAAAATCAGACGCATCAGACAACGGTCTCGGCGCAACGCTCGAACAACTACACGAAAAGAGTAGAGATCGGTTTCCTCCGCTAGCCGATTCTTAAAGCCTCATGAGGCAAAATATTCAACAAACGCCTCATATTCAACAAATATTCAACAAAATTTTATCTGCCTCATCTTTTAACCACAGAAATAAAATGTGTCACATTCTTTTAAAAAGATGGGTAGATAGACTTTTGCCGTTTAATTTTACCGTAAAATATCTAGCGGGTAAAGTTATGGGCTTCACGGATGTGATTTCTAGAAGTCCAATTGGAAAATTTATTGCTCCCTCCAATTATGATGAGGATTTTGTCGTAACAACAATTAGTAAAATCGATTCAATCATAAGCTCGACGGATACTCAGTTTTTAGATTGATCATAACCTCACTCGAAATTGATTGGACAGATTTCAGAAACTTCCACTGACGTAATACTACGCAAAACGATTATCGCAAAAATTCTAAATTTAGTTAGCTCCAGACTGGAAATTTGCGATGTTGATCATTTCCGTTCCAATTTTTGTACTTCTAAATGTATTCCCTTGGAT